GATTGAAAACATTGTTATATGTAATCGTTATACCCCCTCCAAAATATCTGACCAATTCCATTGGAGGTTTGAGATTACCGAAACCATCAAAATATTGTACAGCATTGCCGTTTTTAATGTAAGCTACACAATGAGTGCCTGCATTCAATTGAGAATCCAAGTTCAATACAGCACATTCTCGCAGCCAAGGACCACAAGTTGGCAACGTGTCACGCATAAAGACTCCACGAAAATGTGGAATTTTCAGTTAACGGGCACATTTTTGAATTTCCGAATCGTATAATGCTCTATGGGGTAGCTTCGGTAGGAGTTTTTTACTTTTTGAAGTAAAGACTTCAACATCACCAACCCCACCACCTTTATGCTAGAAAATATGCAGGGTGCTTCTATTAGGAGTGCTTTCTATGCGGAAGAATTACAAAAAACTGCAAATCCTGATATATATCTCGTGGAAAAAGTGTTGAGGAGGAAAGATAAAAAAATGTACGTTAAATGGCTGGGTTTGGATAACAAACACAACAGTTGGATAGAAAATGTCGATTTTGTATAAAATCTCATGGAAAACAAGCACACTGACAATGTATTGAAAGGGCATTTTGTGAAGGATTATTTGTGTGTTTAACAATCACACTATATCTGATATGGACCACGTGATCTGAAGCTATAAGAGCGCATGCAAACACAGATGGATATTCAGTTTGAAAACGAAAATGTCTGTCGATAGTGGTTAAGGTAGTGAAGTTGAAGTAATATTTGACAGTGATAGTGAAGATTACAATGGAACTCTGAATGCAATAGACAGAGTGTTGGAGCAATACGAAACGGCCGCTCGAAAAGAACACCAATTGCTGTTGACATTTCCCATGTCATCTTATGAAATTCGATGTGGCCTAAGTCCATGCAGAGACTTCAGCCCATGCATAATTTTGAAGCAGCAGTTCTCCATTCGTTCCATTAATTCAACAAGTTATGAATGGGCGACCCTCATTGACATCCTGCAAAAAATAAAGGAAATTTTTTGAATCATAAATCAATGGATATGTAGACGAGTATGATCCAATTACAACACGTTGCGGGGATTACATTTACGTCACACAGTACATCGAAAGTAATACCAAACAAGTTTTCGTTTCCAAGGAAACCACGAACCTGGAGTTGTTTCAACGGGATGTAAACTAGATCCTGAATACTCACCTTTGTGTGCTCTCTGACCGTTTCGCTATGCTGGATGCTTTGAACTTTTGTGATCATTATCGGGGTGTTTTCAATATAATACAATCATGGTTACATGAAAATGAAACTAATTCAACTTTGGAAGAAATCAAAGAAGGTTTTTGTCAAGCTTCAGCTTTAAATAGTCAGTATGCTAATGCTTTACGTGAATATTTATTTTATTATAAATATGTTTGATTTATGTAATAAATGGGAAAATGTTGTAACATTTGTTTCATTCGATATGTGAGGTGAAAAAAAATTCAACTTTGAAAAGTTGTATTGTAATAAAGTATAAGTAGGTATATTATTTTTCGTTAAATATTGACTAAAAAACACATGGGTTTTCGTAGGAAAAGGGAACCTTTATCAGCTTTCAGAAATAATTTTAGGTCAACAAGAGCCAAGCCATTCCATTCATTTCATTATCATGACGTTAAGTGTCGAAAATATATTATTTAGTCTGTGTACCTCATTCAGAATGACTGTCAAAAAGTACTTGAGAGTGTAATTAATATCTGAATTCATTTTATGATTGTTCAGCTTCAATTTTAAGGACATGATGAAATTAATGCCTGGTATAGTCTACATACCTCTTATTTGAGACAGAGAAAATATCAAAATAACCAGTGCTGTCACATCTATATATCAGTAGCAGCCTCACGACATTAGAAATATCGGGAACAGTCAATAATTCTTGCGGACATATTCGCTGGACATGTAGAGGACGTTAAGAGTACCCGTCTGGAAAATAATTTCAGACTTTCTGATTGGTGGGAATTTTTATGAGATTATTTGAATTACATCCCCTAACAGAGTTAAGTTTGGAGATTTTTGAGAAAGAATTAAGGCAGTCGTGCGCAGACCCGCGAGTAGTTCGCGGTCTTTTCACCAGGTCGGTTCNTTTATGAGTTAAATTGATGATTACCCCCGTTGTTACTCTACTATTGAAAACATTGTTAACATTGTGCCACTTTACCCTGGAGCTTCGTCATTTCAAACCCGAGCCTATATGTTTAATATTCATCATTTTGATAATCACTCTAAAGCGTTTCAATTCCCCAATTTTTGTAATTATTTTCTTTTTTCCCCAACCGAAAATTTAAGTTTTTTCATAGCTAAAACGCATTTCCTTATATGTTCATTATTGAATTGTATAGCTTGTTTGGCAATATACTCTGAATAATTATATCTTTGATGACTAAAAGGTATTTATCAATTACTGACTTGGTTTTTGGAAAATCAATCATTTGGATTTCATTTATTGACATGACTCACCGATATTTTGTTCACAAATGAATTTCTTGAGGTGATGAATCGGTTTTGGAAGCTGCAGAGATTTGAAGCTCGTTCTGTGGAAACTGTTGAGAAGGTTCTGGAACCTGTTGAGATTATAGTTCGTTCTGTTAATGTTGCTAAGACGGTTTTGGATGTAGTTGTTGAGATGAACTGATAATGCACACGTTGATGTAGTGTTCTGAAATAAATTTGATTTTCAATACAAAAATACACCAAAGAAAAATAAAAATTCAAGAGTGGGGGTAATGTCTTCATGAAGTGATTGTGAAAAATGAGCGAGCTACACTAATGATTAAATAAATCAACTGTCGTTCAAAACAAGGAATTTAAAACACATTTTGCAGATACTGAACAAAAAAAAGTATTGTATGAAAACACTACTTTATGCGGATCATATCTATGAATGAAAAAATGTTTGAGTCGAAAAAAAATATTGTATACAACCACTTACTCTATAAATATATTGAACAGAGAAAAAATGGGAAAGCAGTACTAACCTTAATTTCGTACAATTTCAAATGAAACGACACAACAGCGTATTTTCCAAATGGGGGTAATATACTCCTCCGTCACTCGGTGTTAAAAAAAATTGTTGTTGTTATTAATTGGCTTCCTCTCCACGACCGAACTTGAATTTTTGTAAATACACCTGCGAGAAACCAAAATGAAAAAAAAGGTTATGTTTCAAATTATAGAACACTCTCTCAACAAACGACAACATGAATAAAAGCTATTCATAACTTACTATGCGTTTCATTCAACTAGAAAGCTGATCACAAAATGAGCTTCTGTTTACAACATTATAAATGTGTATATAGAAAATCTATGGCATTGTCTAAGGCAAATAGATAAAATACGAGAAACAATCTTATTCAACTTGGATGATTCTCGAGTAAAATTCATAATCACATTTCACGATTATGTGGCTGTCATCTAATAAAACATTATAACAAATCGTACGGTACAATTATTTATTGTAAGAGATAGTATTCGAGAAAAATGGATGTCAGCAATTACGGGTTCTTATCTTTTATTCATTATTAAAGATTGAATTTGATGAAAAACAAATATCGGCAATTGTCATTTCTTATCTTCTGATGTATGTAGGATAAAAATAGTAGTCCAGGGTTGGCTTGAGGAATACGTAATTACCTCTAAACCGTTTCGTATTACAAAGTAATTGAAACAAAAAACGATAACCCTCAAAAAGTATGCATAAAAAACATTCAAATAAATTAATTTGAGTAAAATTTTGTAAATTTAATGATAATTCAACAACAACTCTCACCACCTTTGAATTGAATTATATTTGAAAGAAAAGTCAAAAACGTATAAAAAATCTTGCGATGAAAATTTATAAAGTGAGGATGTAAAACACTTACTTTCAAATAAAATCGTTGCACTTGTTTGTCACTGGTATTTATTTCAACTGATACAACTAACTCATTTCGCCTCACAGGAGGTATTTATAGAAAAATAAGTGATGACATATCATGAAATCAAACAAAGAGCCTTTGTTTCTTTGTTTTGAGAATTGTGTATCTCTGGATGCTGATTTAGCATTGACAGTGATCAATGTCACCTTGGGTAAGAATAGGAAAATAGGTGATAAAATATTATGAAATCAAATAAAGAACCTTTGTTTCGTCGCTTTGAGAACTACGTATCTCTGGATGCTGATTCATCATTGACAGTGAACAATGTCATCTTGGGTATGAATAGGAAAATTGGTGGTGACATTTTCTGAAATGGAATAAAGAAAATTAAATAGTCTTTGTTTGGTCGTTTTCAGGCGTATTGCCAGATGCCTATTCAGCATTGACATTGATCCATGTCACCTTGGGTATGAATATAGAAAGTCTTAATGAATATGTGAACCGTTGTGGTTTGCATATTTCCTGTCTAGCTTACCTCAACTCAATACCAAATTGTTATAAAGCCACGTGTCTGGCTTAATCAATAAGTGATAGCGATAATTCTGCATGTCTATATTATATATTTTTACCAACTTGAAATAAAACAAAAAATCTAATGTTCCAATTGAAATATTCAATTTTTTAAAATTAAATTTCATACTTGTTGTACAATTCTAATCAAAATACATGCTGATATCGTAGATCATATGAAAACTCTATAGACGTCAAATTCCATTTGTGACTTCCTTTTTTCTAGCCTTTTTGCGTGTTCTGAAATAAATTCAACAGTTTTTTGTATATAACTGATGAAGATCTTGAAATATCAACTTCACATCACATTTGAATGGTGTGTTCTTTGGAATTGCGCCTGCGCAAATACTGTTGACTGACCCTCATTGACTGATGTCAAACGAATCGATTTCCAATGTTTACATCTATAATAACAAGCCTTCACGCATATTTCTTTGGAATTTCACACACATCCGGTAGGTTCCCAAACAGAACAATATATATTATTGTAGTCGGAAGTACAACATTTGTTTCTCAGCATCGGTGACGACATATTCTACACTCTGAGGCTGAATTCTTCTCATATATGATAAAGTTCGATTGAACACTTTGTCATGAATGTCTAAATTATTCAACTGCGGAAGTACAAAATTGATTTTTCAGCATCGGTGACGACATATTTTACACTCTGAGGCTGAATTCTTCTCACATGTGATATAGTTCGATTGACCACTTTTTCTTGAATGTCCAAATTTCTCTTTTCCTCATATAATTGAATATCTTTACTTAATAGTTGGACACGTCTGTCAAATTCCTCTACTTTATGTCTGTATTCTCTGAATGCCATTATATTACTAATTTTTGTTTACCAACGACGTACGAAACATCGTTTTCCTTTCCAATCTCATAATGAATGTACTGACTAATGGTGTACAATTATTCAAATACAAAAATGGCTACTACAATGACGACGAAACGATAACGAATGAACGCATGCAAAACGGTCGGAACTTATGCAGAACAACGTATTTTGAAATGTTATTGTTAATACCTCGCTCCCCCATTGTCTCCACGTTGAGTCCACAACGCGTAACCCCTCGACACTTTTGGGTGTCATCTCCTCTTCACTGGTATTTCTTGTCCACATTGTTCATCATCGATATTGGAATCACTACACTGGAAAAAGTCTGCGTTGTTATCACACTCGTTATTATTATTAATACTTGTCCAAGGACGCCAAATTTTAAACAGATAACAAAAATTTTAGGTAGTTAACCGAAAAACAGATTTTTAACCAGATTTTTTTAACAGATTATAATTGCACCAATATCGAATTTCAACACTCAAATCGCGATCAGTTCCTGAACTGAACACGACGGCGATAACATTCCCCGATATCTATTCGTCACCGTTATTTGACTTCAAATTCAATTTTCTGACTCTTCACTCAATCATTAAACTCGGTTAGTAAAAATTATCCAATACGAACTGCCAAGTCTACAGTCCACGTGGACTAGTTCGGCTTTCTATGTATTGGTTTTTTAGCCTTTGCACAATATCGTTTTCTTCGACTATACTTTCAACTGAAGAAGTGACTTGAATAATTTTATATCAATCATATTTAGCTTTTATCAAATTCTCAAACACTTTGATTGTTTTAGATCATTTTATTCAACTACATGGACTTATTCTTGGATCACTGGAAGAGAAGTAACGATGTATTGGATTGTATCGAGGAAACCTCATTATCATGGAGCGCTGCCGGTGAAGATGTATTAAAAAAAATTACACTGGAAATAAAAATGCTCAAACGTATCATGACACTCCTTATGATTGGACTCATCATTTCAAACGTGATATTATTGCCATATCCCGAAATATGTGAGCCTTTTCATAGAATGGGCGAGAAATATTTTGAAAGGTGGATAGTTATTATCGATATAATGACATTAATTCTGTTGGCTATGACTGGTTATGGCTCGGGCCATTTTTTCTTAAAGGTGGCTTATGCTTTCACACATACTAAATTTCAGTGTTATCTTCTGAATGGATTATTGAAAAATATGTCAGATTATACTGGAAAAGGTTTGGATGACGAAGAATATCAAATGATCACATATCAAAAGCTGGTTAAGTTGGTGAAAGCTCACCAAAATACGAAAAAGTGAGTTTCTACTGTCAATACCTCGCCTCAGTACCAAATTACCAATTCAAAAATTTATTTTGAAATCATTTAATAATGAGTCGATTATAAAATATTTCAGTTCAATAATTCTCAATCATTCAACGTATATTTTGTTAATTATTGCAACATAGGTATTTTCTGTAACTCCCGAGTTCATATTCATATAAGTATTTGTGTTTCAAATAACATTTCACCGCAATTTTACCCATACCAAAATTCACGTATAGGTACAGCTACTGGACTGAGTCATGGTGGGTGGGAGAAATTTTACTTAGTACGGGTTGAGGGTAAACAATAAATGGATATTGATATGAAACTTCGGTTTTTGTAGATACGGGTATATAAAAAGCAGTTTATGTAGAGGCAAATTAGGATAATTGTGATATTCTGAAAATAGTTTGATATTCTAAGAAAAACAGTAATTATATTTTGTTTTGAACAATAAACGAATATTATTTCAATTCAGTTCTTGTTAATATAGTCAAAGTAGATAATGAAAGAGTTGATTCGGTAACCCGAGTATTTTAAGAGCGAAATTCTGAGAAAAAACAACAAAAATTTTATTGTGAATGATAAATTGATTTTAGAATTCCTTTCAATATTATGACAAATAAATCAATAATAATAATTTCATACGATAAGTGATGATTTGATTTGAACTTAACTTCCACTCTTCAGCACTAAATTCGTCAAAATAAGTTGCATATGAATTTTGGACATCCCCAACATGATCGGACAAATATTTTTGTCCCACTTATTGCTTCAGTGTTGCTCATACTGATTCGATGGGATTCAAATCTGGTTGGAAGGGAGATAATCGTACGACGCTATGGCTATGTTGAGTTAAAATTTCATCTATCTCGAACATTTTAAATTTTGGCTTATGGAGTTTATGAAGGTTGTGCAAATAAGGTTTTAACATATTTGTGTCAAAATGAATATTTTTAGGCCTTAACCTTTCTATCATATCTTGTTTTTTACTGTTAGAAGTCGGTGCTATATCTTTCTGAACATTGTGATAAGGCGAATTGTCAATAACTACGACAGAATTTGGAGGTAGGTTAGGAATTGATATTTCCACCAACCTTTTTTTATTTGATGAAATTCATTTTGTAATGGTAGTCTCTGGTATTTGAATTTGATTTGAAAATCAGTTGAGCATTGGGAATGAAGCCCTTCTTGCTACCAGCATGAACAATAATTATTCGTTGTCCTTTTCAAAGGGGATTAGCTAGTCCTTTATTGAAATTGTCGTTTCAACAAGTAGCAACAAGTATGCGGACCATGAATGTATGTTTCATCAATATATATAAACGTTTTTTCAATTGTCTGTACGATTTCATGACACGTAAAAAAGCTATTCTCAATTGACGGATATCATGTCTCTCTATTATTATTTTTCTATTCGTTTTCGTTTTTTTCCAGCGGAATTCCATCAATTTTTCAAACTTCACGAAGGGAATCTTCTTCTCCTGTGTATCTCCTGTATTTCCTTAAGATATTCGGCATTGTGGCACAATTTTGTCAGTGGTATAACTATTTATAATAATTTTACGTAACGAACTTTCATCTGCGTTGTCTAAATCGGTTTTAGGCTTCTTCCTATCTTTCGTTTTAGTTCGCGATTTGAAAGAAGTACTTGCACTTTGTTCTATATCCATTTTTTCTGTAACAATTCTTCGAATACTTCTTTCTGAAACACCTGTTGTAGCAATCACTCTGTCGTACAACTTATCTAATGCAATGTTGACTACCCCCGACGTCTTTTCTTTTCCATATATTCAAATATATTAGAAACAACGTCACGAGTTTCTAACAGACTGATAACAGATTTCTACACATCTACTGCATATCTTGAGGGAGGGGATTCTTACCGGCCATGACTGAGTCTTGCAGCCAGTGCTGTCTCTGAGTAAAGAGTAAAATGATCTTCCAATCAACTTACAGAATACGATTGAAAATTCAATGTAACTTTGAATATTATAAATAGAATGAGTATGCGTTTGTTATCCATTCGCTATTCACTAATTCAAATTTGTTTGAATTTCATTCATTCATCATTGGAATTAGTTTTGCCTTTCTCCCCCTTCATCATCTTACAAAAAAGTGTGGGAAACTTAAAATAAAAAAGAAAAAGGCTATTCAAATATATTAGAAACAACGTCACGAGTTTCTAACAGACTGATAACAGATTTCTACACATCTACTGCACATCTTGAGGGAGGGGATTCTTACCGGCCATGACTGAGTCTGGCAGCCAGTGCTGTCTCTGAGTAAAGAGTAAAATGATCTTCCAATCAACTTACAGAATACGAGTGAAAATTCAATGTAATTTTGAATATTATAAATAGAATGAGGATGCGTTTGTTATCCATTCGCTGTTCACTAATTCAAATTTGTTTGATTTTCATTCATTCATCATTGGAATTAGTTTTGCCTTTCTCCCCCTTCATCATCTTACAAAAAAGTGTGGGAAACTTAAAATAAAAAATAAAAAGGCAATTAAGTTCAAAATGAACTCTTAACAAAGATGTACATAAGCATCTTTCAGAGACAAACGGGAAAAAACTCTGTTTAAACAAATACTTTCACAGGAGCATTGATTGATGAAGAGCATAAAATATTACCTACATGGAAATCTAGCATTCTTAAAATATACTTCATGAGAAGTAGAAAGCCAAAAAGCTCCGTTACCAAAGAGTTTTGAATAATCATGATAACATCTCAAAGTATCCACAAAATTATAAAGAAAATATCTGCAAAAATACAAAAGTAAACAGGGTTCATCTCGACATGAAAATGATTATATTGTTGAATTCATTCATTTTATACATCTGCTAAACTTATTTTTTATAATTATTCGTTGCTAAATGTCAACTTCATAATTATCGAAAAGTGTATCTGTCGATTAGATGAAGAATTGAATCTTTCATGTTAAATGGTTATTGAAACACTGCAGCAGGTATGATGAATTTTCAGTACTAGGATGTATCCTGATCAAGAAATTTCTCAGTCTACGGTGAACAGAATATAATAAATTGGAGTATACTCTTCCCAGATCATGATATTCCATAGGAATTTTTGAAATTCGCAGAACGGAGTCACATCACATTTTTGCATTTGAGTTGAGAGCATATATCTCAATCAAGTTTTTGTAATAGTTGTACTAGTGAATGCGATGGAAATGAGTGCGAAACAATTAGTTCCTGTGATCTTTCGTCAAAAACGCCACGAATTTTTGCGACGTTGATATTGAGTCATTTTCATATCTGATTTAAAGAGATTGTTTTCAACAACATGAACAATTGCCTAGACCCAGTCAAAATCTGCTTAAATGTTACTCGAAATTGTAAACTATTCATCTTTAACAGAATGTTCATTTGTTATAGTCCGCGCAAAAGAATTTGGAGAAAAAACATGATGGCGTTGATGGACTTTACAAAACACGTATTGGAGTGTAGAACAACAATAGTTATCGTTCTCAGTTCAATTTGCTAGTCGAATGTTCGATGTATTCTGTCTATTGATTGGACTTATTTTTGTGAAAATAGCTATTTTAAAATTTGTTTCAGATTATTTGGGTTGATCACGAAACATTTCAGTTGGATGATCCACCCTGTGTATATAGCTAATTGTGTTGCGATGGTTTCTATAATCTACATTTACATGCTCGTAAGTAGTAGTAATTTTTTTAGAATTATTTAAAAGAAATGTGTCATTTTGATACGAATAAGCCTCATTTATTCTTGCAACTGAATGAAATCAAGAAAAAAATAATTTTTGAAACCATAAGAATACGTTTCGAATCAAGATGTTATATTCTGAGATCCTAATCTACTACTTGCTATATTTACCAGTACCAACAAAAAATTTATCTTGGGTCATTAGTTTTAGAATTACTACCGTCTGAGAATGCAGAATGAAATTTATCTTATAAAAAAAGAAGCAATTCTTTGAGATACTGCAATACCTTGAGTCATTTTGCAATATTTCGTTATTCAAATGTAATAGTAACTCATTCACGTGAAAAGTATTGTAGTAATTTCAATGGATTCAATGACATGAATGTAGTGTTGTTCATACGGCATTTGCAATCTTTTTTTGAATGGATTTGAATTCGTATTTTGAAGAATATTCCGTGTATTTGAATATACAAAAAAATCATCCGTTCACTTCACTTCACTTCTGACAATCATTTGTTAGAATCTCACATCAAAGATGATTTCCTTTGCTCCCCACCTTGGAAACCTCAGAAAATTTTAAATGGAAAAATTTGCTACCGTTTTCCATTCAAAATGGAACACTGAATCCTCTTCGGGTGATAACTATAACACCACCAAAACAAAACCTAATCTATATGAAAAGCCTATTCAATTTGGGAAAACGAAAAAGTCCAAACTATTTGAATGTCAAAATATTGTTTCCCTGAAAAGATTGAGATTTGTCTATTCGCGTGAAACATTCATGCCTACTTTCAGCTGAAGAAATTCAGGTAATCCTTTTTCTTTTAAAACGATATGTTTCTTGCATTTTTCTACATGAGCTTGGGAGTCAATGGGAGAAAATTGATTGTTAGTACCCTAAAAATCACTGAAAGTTATTCATGAGGAACAATTCAGATAGTATGATGACCATTTTGGGATCAATGAGGGACAACGTTACGTCATCCGCAGGATCGTTAGGTACCGCAATCTTATCATTGAGCAACGTCGGTAACCGGTCGGTTCGACGTGGGTGCTTTGTTCACTCAGTCAATCGGCCGATGTGTGAGTCAATGGCTCAAGCCCCAGGCTGAACGCTCGATTTTCACTTGGTATCGTCGAACCCGTGTTAGACATCACACGTAAAAAGGAAAGACCACGTTAGTCCTTAGCTCGCACAAGTTTCGACTTCTGAGAGTTATCGTTTGTAGAGGTGCGATAGCTGGTTAACGACAAAAACATAATATAGACATATTATAAACGTGAATGTAACCATTTCCTGAATTCACACGACTTCCCTATGATGACCTGGAAATATCACTAGGACAAAACGGGAACTATCAGGGATACCTACAGGAGGGATCAAATTTTGCGAGTTTGTGGACATCCTGTACCTGTACAGGAATATGAGGGGGGAAGGAGGGGAATATGATAAAAATTTAAGGAAAAGTAAATTACGGGCGATCTGAGTTCGTGACGTGGGAGGGGGTGAGTTTTTAAGGGTAAAAAATTGTTTATCTCGATTTCCTGCAAAACTGCAAGTCCAAGTTGAATAGCAAAGTTGTAGACCTTTTCATGTCCCAAATACACTGTAATTTATTTGATTCAAAATATTTATTTTTTCACCTTATTTTGACTTAATATTAAAAAAGCACCCTAATTTTCAATCGAAAACTCTCGCGTCAAAATATCAGCTTTTTTTCATGTTTCAAGAACAGGATGGAAATAACACATCGGCTACCACGAGAAATATACGGGAAATATTGGGATGTCCTACGATAGAAAACTGACATGAAATTGGGATATTCTTCGGACATTATTTGGACATCAACATATATTCTGAGAAAAACTAATTTCCACTTTGGGTTGAGGTGGGGACTAGGAATGCAGGAATGTAATTCTTGTGGATGTACATGGCCTCTATTATAATATATTGTGGACATTCGAGCGATTATTCAAAAAAAATTTCTGAGGTATAAATAGATGAAAAAATTGGGATATCCCAATCTGAAATATGACTGACATTTGAAAAGTGAAAAGATTGATTTATACTAAATATGGTGTTTTACGATCGAAACAATAATGAAGTGCATTGCAAATATGCGTATTATTATTTCCTGAAATTGAAAGATCCTAACAATCGACTCCTTTAAGTGTTGATATCATTTTCTCTCCAAATACTCCAGACTTGAAATCATTCAACCTGTCTCATTTCATGATTATCACACAGTGTGCCTTGTATAATAGTTATTCAACTTTTGACAGGAGTTCTTAAATGATTCAATCAGTTGCATAATATCTACAGTTCATAAAATATTTTAATTCGTTTGAATTCATGTTTCATTCAATTTCAGGAAATTAGTAGAAGAGAAAGCTTTCTACATCCGAGAGTTCTCATTACTCAAGGGATTTTTGGATTTGCTTTATTCGTAACGATGAATCATGGACAACGGTTATCGGATGAGGTAAGTGAGAACTTTTAAGAACAAATGATCTTTTCAGAATTACAGATTTGCTCACACCTATGCACATCAGTAATGTTCCGCACCAGTTGAGTTTTAGGTAAAATTATATTGGTGTCAATTGTCACAATTGTCGCCTATATTAGGCTTGAAACTTTCTATTGGTGACAGTACTGTGATAAATTCACAGGCAGATCGACTTTATACGGAAGCATAGAAGGGTCACATATTTTTGTTATTTATTTCTCGAAAATTCCGATTATAAAACTCGAAATTACAACTTTTTTCCCGAAATTTCGACTTGAAACTCGACATAAGGACTTTAATTTCGAAGTTAATACTTGTAATAATCCATTTTTACACTTTTCATTTTAAACTGTTTGAAAGACAATTTGAACACACAAATTAGGATTGTGTATTGTAACATACTAATCATTTAAAATTTCTATTTCCACAGATCTGGGATTCTTCTGAGCAGTCTGCTGCAGTAGTACTATAAATAAATCACATTCAGAATGCTGACACCTATTTATAGCCCATATTGTTTATTTTGAGTGATTCTATTCATGTTACGGTTAGGTATAAGAACGGTTCGACTAGTGCTCTTTTCAATAATTCTTTGATATGGTTTTTGAAAGATACTATATGTAGTTTCAAGACATCCTGTGGCAATGGATTAATGAATATAGTGCCGTTATGTTATGAATGTCGACGTTTTTGCATAATTTGCATTTTGCATAATGAGTGACTGACTCGTGATTGAGGTTGACAATGTTGTATCTCAGATGAAGCAGAGCTTTATAAATATAAATGCAGGGTAAAGTTAATATATTATGTTTTGAAAATGAGGTTCTACACTACAGCTATCTCTCAGTGAAATGTCAAATATGATTCTGATTATTCTTTTTTGTAGAATAAACACACACCTTGCATAAACAGCCATGTGAGAAAAGGCCAAAGAATAATAGACCGCCTTGATACCATCTAAGTTTAGCACCTCTCTAATCAAGCGTACTGCAAATATAGCCTGATTAAATTTTTTGCACACATGATCACATGATCTGCTGTTAGTAATGTCATACTTAGAATCGGTGAGCTCTGTGTTCATGTCTGAAGGCACTGATGGAACAGATGGTAACATCGCCTGAACTAAAGTCGATTCTTGAATTGAATAGAACTGGCCGATACCTAATGAAAATCTATATTGAAAAACTAATCAATACAGTTTATTGTATGATTTTCACTATAATAGGGTTTTACAAAAACCGCGACACGTGTTTCGCTATACAATAGCTTCTTCAAGCATAAACTGCACAAGCATAAACCAGTTTATTTTATAGTGAAAATCATACAATAAACTGTATTAGGTTTTCAAAATCGATTCTATGAACTCGAGATGAAATTTAGAAAGGGTATTTTCTGTGCCTTGCTACATAGAGAGAGCACGTAGTGGCGATTTAAGTACAATTTTTGAGAATCATCCATCAGAATAAATTCCAACTTTTTGAGGTATTCATTGATATTGATTTAGAAGTGGATTATATAAAATTATATTTTGAAATCGTTAATTTCAACTAATCGTAGAGGATTTTGTTAACAACTGTTTTTTGTATCATAGTTCTGCCAGGTAAAATCGCAAAATCATGAAAAGCATACAAGCATGAAAATATAGAAGTTTAAGAACCAATTATAGTATGAAAGCCATCAATAGCATGAATAGTGAACGAAAAAAAAAACAGAAATAAACAGGACATAACGAGGAGATCGTTTTGGATGTGTCTGGCTGCACTGTAAAACATAGGTCTGAGGTGCCTACTGCCGGAGACTGCCGGAGACCCGGATCTCAAGAATCAGATGTGTCTATTTGGAGGAGTGTAAATAGAATGGTTTCTGTAAATATAATTTCGATCAGGAGTTGTGAGATTTAGTGCATTAAATCCTAGGGTAAGATCCTGTACTTTGTCATTTTTTCTATTGGAAATAATAGAAAATTTCAGAACATTGTCACTCTGATTTTTTCATATAGTGACAAATTATGTTCAATAGTGATTATTTAGTATTTTTGTTAATTCATCTTATTCAAAGTTGGGAATGCAAAATCCTATCAGAACTCCAAAGTAAACCGCATTCCTTGTTTTATTGGTATGCTTGAAGTGTACCCTTTCCCAGTGTACAGGGGTATTTCGGAAAACTTCTGTGACGTCCGAATGGAAGCTTGTTTATACTCTCAGAGCCAAAGTTTTTGAAAATAAAATGTTTTTATTTCTACAAGTATATTGTAGTCAGCGGAGAGGTCTGAATATTTCTATCAACTATCCTCTTTCATCCCAGAATGAGGTTATATAGAATGCCTTCTGAACCACGAAGAGTTAAAGTTTTCAAAAAAGATTTTACTAGTTTTGAAAATTGATCTTGAATTTTAGAAAATTTCGAACCAATGTTACGATGAAACATTATTCTCTACGTATGATTACTCCAATGTTTTTACTAAAAAGCCAATGTATTTTCAGTTTGAAAAA